CAATTTTTTAAATCATTGAAATAGTTTAATATCTCTATGAGTAAAAAAAAAAAATTGTACTTAAAAAAAATTGTTTAGCAGCTGCGTCCCACTGTGCAACGCAATGATATCTGCACACTCTCACATATTTGGCTTAGGCTTCGGTGGTTTCGTGGCCATCTGACGCACCGTCGATTGGGGGCCTTGTTCAACTGTTGGGGCGAAGATATTGACCATGAGAATGATGATGATGATGATGAGGATAAGGATAATGACGATTTAAGTAGCAAACTAAAAACTCGACTCACTTTTGTAGATGTTGTAGCCGCGCTCATCGGCAATGTAGTAAATCGTCTGGATCTGCGGCTTCTGCCCAGCGACTGGAGTCGAGTGATAGCCCTCCTGCACATTGATCAGCCGGTCGCCAACGGTTTTCCTATAGAGCTTGATGTAGTTGGCCAGCCCATTGCTGAGCACCAATCTATGAATGCGAAAATTGAGAATTAAGGTGGGCACATGGGGAGGGGGTGGAACGACTGAGGGCTTGGCCCTGACCGGCCTTACTTGTGCTCCTCGGTGCCATTGGCGTGCTTGATGCGATAGTTTTCCAACACATAAACCTGCTGCGACGGGTCGGGTCTTGGGGTGGACTTTGCCGTTGTTGCGGATGAGGATGGAGATGGGGATGTGGATGTAGTTGGGGATGCAGCTCCTGGCTGCTGCTCATCAAAGAAATAATCAAAATTTTCCTCATCAAATTCCATTTGCGGAAATACGACCAATTGATCCTCATATAAAGGCAACATTGTAGGTGTTGATGCTGTTGTTGTTTTTGTTCCCATTGTGGTGCTTCCTGGTGCTGCCTCTGTGGTTGTTGTTGTTGTTGTGCTCTTCGTTGTTGCTGCTGTTGTTCCCATTGTTGTTGTGGCAATGTCATCAACAGCCCCAACATCAGCTGGCCAAACAACCACTTGTAATTCATAAAGGGGCTGACTGCCCGACATTGAGTGTCGCAGGACATTCGCCGACTCCGGTTCGCCATCCTGCGCCTGTTCGTGGTCGTCCTCGTGGTCGCTGCCCGCATCCGCTGGCTTATTAGTGCTGCTGCCTGTTGGCTGCAGCACGTTGCAGTCATTGTGCTGCTGCTGCTGCTGCTGCTCTAACGAGTCCATTGTCGCATCGAAAGTCAATTTGCAGTCAATGCGATGCGACGACTGCTGCTGCTGCTGCTGGACCTCAAGTGCCGTTTCAATGCTGGCGGTCGGCTCCGCTATTCCAGCAGCTACAGCTGCTCCTGCTGCAGCTTCTGCTCCTGCTGGTGCTCCTGGCAGTGGCGTTGCCCGTGCACAAATCACGACCAGCAGGAGGATTAGCGACAGCGGCCCAGTGCCACATCGCCACATACTATACGTTGTCATTTCGGGCTGAAATTGCGTTGGGGACAGGCTGCCTGGCTTCGACTGGCACGAGGAATTGGGCACAGTTCGATTCACGCTCTGTTGTTGTTCCTCGGCCCGTGCGGCTTCTTATATTTATACTCAGAGCTTCGATTCGCTGCTATTGACAATGGCAGCGACGGCCCTGACGACGCCGGCGCCGACGTCGACGTCAGCATCGACTTAATCAACGGCCAAACACTCTTTACCGTTATGCCTTAAAAGCAACAGCAACAACCAGCAATCAGTTAAATGAAAATATGATAAAGCTGGCAGAGAAAAGGCGCCGCAGCCAGCCATAAATGCAAATCTCGCAAAAGGGCGACGCCAACAAAGGCCAAAGCTGAAGATGCTAAAGAATGCGACAGGCAGCAGCAGCCGAGCCGAACCAAAGCAATTTTGTTTAACCCAATTAAAGTCAATTGAATCAGAAGCTAAAGAGACTCAGCCCAAAGGGGAATCGAACTCAAAGTGATTGCACTTAAAGATGTCAAATATTTTATTTAAATTTGATAAAGAATAATTATAATAAATAAAATTACATATACATATATGTATGTAGTATGATTCAAGTCTGAATTGGCATTTTTAAATTTTAATATATTCATTGTTTAGATATTGTAATTTACATT